TGTTTGTCCCCTTAACAGGCTCTTATTCCTTCACTAAAACTGCATATATTTATTGTGTATTTATTATAAGCTGGGCTTTCTGAAGAATACTGATAAAAATCCCAGCCTCTGCCCTGAAGAGGCTGCTTCTGTAGTGAAATACATGGAAAAATGGACAAAGAGCTCTTGCACAAACCAGAGAGACAGGAAGGTTAGAATAAGGAATGTGTCCATGCAGCTAAGACCTATACACTGAACTAAAACTGTTGGTGATTTACTAGTGATTAGTGATTATTAGGTGAAGAGGATGACAAAGAGTTGTTCTGGTATAGTGGTGTCTGGGTGGCTCAGTTAGTTAAGTGTCTGCCTTTGGCTCAGGTCGAGATCCTGGAGTTCCAGGGTCAGGTTCTCTGCTCAGCAGGGGAGTCTGCTTCCCCTCTGCCCCTCACCTGCTCATGCTCTCTCTCTCTCTCTCAAAAAAAAAAAAGAGTTGTTCTGGTATTAATAAAAGAATGTGTACAAGTTTAGTGGTGAGAGAAACTGTGAATTTGAGGGACTGAAAACGGTTCCACAGGACTAATTTAAATATTGTATTGTTATCAAGTGTGGATAGGAATAGCAAATCAAGGAGATGGGATTGTTTGGTACCTGTCATTCAGAATGATTTTTCACCATTTTAAAACAGTGATATTTTATGTTTAAAGCAATGTGGAAAGATTGGAGGGTTTTACACACCATTGTTGTTTCTGACTTGGATTTTTGCAATCATTTTCTAACTCACTTCCCTGCTTCCTACCAGACCAGAGTGAAAATTTATAAATTCAATCTTGACCATGTTGCTCTGCTGTTACACAGATCTTCAGTGTCTAAGTCCTCTGTGCATCCTTCTATGAAAACACTGCATAATAATAACCTCTGCAAATGCTTTTCCCACTCAAGACCATGGACCTCTTAAAGGGGATTATTAACCAGTGTATCACTTGCATCTAGCTCGATGTCTAACACATGGTGGTTGCTCATATGTAACAATGAATTCACCATCAGGGATGATTAAAATTTGAATTACAGAAATAGATGAAATACCTTTAAGATCTTTTCCAAGCCATGACTGCACAACTCAAATTATTTGTAATCAAATAATTCTTGGACCAGCAGCATCAGCATCATGGAAGAACTTGCTAAAAAGGCAAATATTGTGTCCTTTTCCAGACCTACTGAATCAGAAACTCTAGGGGAGTGCCTAGTGACCTGGGGTTTAATAAGCCCTTCAAGTGACTCTGATGCCCTGGAAAGCTTAAGAATCACTGTCTATACCATTGATCTATCAGTGGGGCTGTCTTACAACAATTTGGCCACAGCTATAACACTGTTGCTGACTTGTTGGTCATTCTGTTACAAGGTATAGGATATGATGCTTTTCTTCTGCTGGTGCTAATTGGGATGTATTCTGTGGGTTTATTAACAAAATCATTTTTATACATTTTAAATTTGCAGGTTGAATTAATTTATTTGCTCTCTTCCATTATTATTCTTTACAAAGCTTCAGACAGAGTTAAACAGCTGATAAAGATTCAGAACCTGTCACCTTAACTCAGTTATTTATCGAACTATATGTGCAAATGAATGAAGAAATTTGTTATAGAACGGTTTGAGAACTATTAATTAGCAACAAAACAGATAAAGAATCAGAAATGACAATTTGGGATCCTGAAAGTAGAAGAAAAAAACCATCTTATTGACTCATGCATTCCTTTGACATCTGGATCAGTGAGTCAGACATAACATAAGTCATAACAATGATTTTATATTTCCATAACTAGTTAGCAGTATTTCTGGGTTTTATTTGCTGTTTTTGTTTGTTTGTTTTTCACTCAGGAGTACAATATGACTTCTTGTCCTCTTGATTGCTTTAGGAACATTGTTTAGAAAGCTAAATATGTTTAGATCAAATTAACAGAATAGTGTCATATTGAATACCATAGCCAATATCCAATTACAAATTTTTATTCCATGGTGATCATTGCAGTTAGATAATTTCTACTCTGAAAAGTCTTTTCAAAATATAATCAACAAAGTACTTGAAGTTTCTGTTCACAATGCTGAATATAAATCAAACCAAAACAAACAACAAAGACAGCATGGATACCTTATTCTGTATATTGGTATTTACTTTTAAAAATATACTAAACTGTGATGCTTTAAATTAGATATATTTTTTAATTTTTTTTATTATTATTATGTTCAGTTAGCCAGCATATAGTACATCATTAGTTTTTGGTGTAGTGTTCAATGATTCATTAGTTGTGTATAACACCCAATGCTCATCACAACATGTGCTCTCCTTAATACCCATCAACTGGTTACCCCATCCCCCAACTCCCCTCCCTTCTGTAGCCCTCAGTTTGTTCCCCGGAGTCCAGAGTCTCTCACGGTTTGAGATTAGGCCTTATGGAAAAAATAAATTTAATTTTATTGCTCAAAAATAGGAAATTATTGGAGCACCTGGTGGCTCAGTCAGGTGTCCAACTCTTGATTTCAGCTCAGGTCATGATCTCACGGTCCTGGGACTGAGAGCCGCATTGGGCTCTGAGCTCGGTGCAGAGTCTGCTTGTCCTTCTCCCTCTTTCCTCTGCCCTGCTCTCTATCTCTAAAATAAATAAATACAATCTTTAAAAAAATAAGAAATTATAAAACATAGTCATGTTATAAATCATCCAGATAGACTCAAAGCATTTTAGACTGGAAGATATCATAAATTAATTCTGTACTTCTTCTATATTTTTTACATGAGTCAGTTGAATTCAGAGAGGTTAAGCGGCTTGGCTGAGGATAGGTGATTTGTGGTAGTGTCGTAAGTATAAAACAAGTGTACTGACTCCAAGTTGAATGGTTATCAACTTGATTATATAAAAAAAGTTCATATAAAATATATAAATGTAGTACTCTCTTAGTGTTCTTAAAGAGAATATCAACTTGAATATATACTATATACAATATTTATAATATATCCACATATATAATATATCCACATATATATATATACACATTTTTACAAACTTTTGGTAACATTTAAGATACTATAGTTAACAGAAGAAAATTGGGAAGTAATTTTTTAAATGTTGGATGGTTTGATAATTTGTTATAAACATTTCTAGGATTTTAATAGTACTTGTGATTTTCTATTTTTTAAAAAATCTGTATTTGAGGTACAAGTTAAGTAGAGTTAGGAAGGAAAAAAATAACTCAGAATATCACATTTCACTTTTGCATGTAACAGAGAGAGCCAGATTCATTAAATATAGTGTCAAACTTTCAGAAAAGAAAATAGTGATTCATTCACATTTTCTTCTCTATGTTTATAAAGCTAGTATCTTTCACTCGATCATGCAATAAATATTTATAAAAGCCTAAGAAGTCCGAGGTACTATTCATGGTGTTGAGGATAACTCAGGGAATAAAACAGAAAAATTCATGCCCTAATGAAGCTTGCATTCTAGTGGAAGAAGTGAAATAATAAACAAATACATTAGGAGAAGGTATACTATATAACATGGTTGCAGCTGGAGAAAGTAAGGCAACAGAAAAAGAATAGAGAGCACAGAAATAATCTGGGATGTACCTGAAATAGAATGGTTAAAGTGATATTTGAAAAACACCTAAAAGAGGTATAAAAGCCACATGTATTTCTGGGTTAAGTATGTCTTAGAAAAACAAGTACAAAGACTTTTAGGCAGGGATGGCCTGCTGTGTTCAAGGGTCAGAAAGGAGGCTAGTATGGCAAGAACAGAGGAAAGGAGAGAGTAGAAGATGAAGTCAAAGAGATTTTAATTGATTACTGCCTTTCACATATTCTTTCTGGATTCTTCTCTTCCCTTGAATTAGTTGTTGGTTATAACCATTGTACCAGCCAACCACTTTCAGTGGCCATATTCTCCACTGATAAGGTAAACTTTGAAACTTGAGGGATACAGAGCAAATAATAATGGGTTTGGCTGCAGCAAATTACCTGTTTTCCAGATTTTCAGAGTTGGTCTAGAAGAGCCCATAGAGCTATCTGGACTAGATTATTTTACTTCTTCTTAATATTATTCCAGTGTAAAATCTCTAGATCAATTTTTAGAATTCCATGGATGCCAGGCACAACCCAAAAACTAAGATATAGACAGTATATTAAATATAGCCTCACAGGAAAGACTCGTTGCTGATTAGATAAAAAAGAAAAGATTTGGCAGCAAATTCTGTCTTGTTTTATATGTGCATCTGGAATGAAGTCCCAGAAGATTCAAATTAGATAAATTGCGGAAAATTGGAATCTTATTTGAGATGTAACAAAAATGTTGGAACTCCACTTTTATATTATTTCAAGAATGTTCTTGCATGGATGTAAACATTGTTGAGAAGTTGAGTCTAATAGACTTAGTCAGTTTGAAAGTATCTCGAGGGAGTTGACCAGCCAAATTTTAGATTTTCTTTCTCATGTCATGCATGTTACACAATACTTTTACTAAGGCATTTAAAAAAAAAAAAGAATTAGTTTTCAGAGCAGTTTAAGGTTTACAGCAACACTGAAGGGAAGATATGGGGATTTCCCATACACCCTCTCCCCTCACACATGTACAACCTCTCCCATTATCAACTTTCCCTACCAGGTGGCATATTTATTACAGTTGATGAACCTACACTGGCACATCATAATCACCCAAAGTCCATAGTTTACATTGGTGCTCATTCCTGAGTTGTATATTTTATGGGTTTGGGCAAATGTGTATTGATATGTACCCATCATACAGAGTATATTCACTGCCCTAAAAATCCTCTGTGTTTTGCCTATTCATCTCTTTCTACCCCTAATTCCTGGCAACTGCTAATATTTTTGTCTCCATAGTTTTGCCTTCTCCAGGATGTGATATAGTTGGAATCATATAGTTTGTAGCCTTTTAAGATCGGCTTCTTTTACTTGGTAATATGCACTTAAGTTTCCTCCATGTGTTTTCATGACTTGATATCTCATTTCTTTTTAGTGCTGAATAATTCCATTATCTGGATGTCCCACGGTTTACTTATCCATTCACCTGCTACTGGGCCTCTTGGTTGCTTCCAAGTTTTGGCAAGTATGAATAAAGCTGCTAAAAACACATGTGTGGGCTTTTGTGTGGACATAAAACTTCAACTCCTTTGGGTGAGTACCAAGGAGCACAATTATTGGATCATATGGTAAGAGTATGTTTAGTTTTCTAAGAAACAACCAAACTGTTTTCCAAAGTGGTTGTATTGTTTTGCATTCTCATCAATGTATGGGAATTCACCTCTTCTTCAGCATTTGGTGTTGGTGTTCCAGATTTGGGGTATAATAATAGGTATGTAGTAGTGTTTTAATTTACATTTCCTTGATGACATATGATGTGGAGCATTCTTTCATATGCTTATTTGCCATCTGTATATCTACTTTGGTGAGGTGTCCAAGGTTTTTGTCCTCTCTTTGAATCAGATTGTTTTATTATTGTTGAGTTTCAAGAGTTCTTTTTATATTTTGGATAACAGTCTTTTACTGCCAGTATCTTTTGCAAATACTTTCTTCTAGTCTGTGACTCAGTCCTCTCATTGACTTGATAGTGTCTTTTACAGAGCAGAAGTTTTAAATTTTAATTTAATTTCCAGATTATCCATATTTTCATTATGGATTGTGCCTTAAGTGTTGCATCTAAAAAGTCATCACCATACCCAACGTCATCTAAATGTTTTCCTATATTAACTTATAGGAGTTGTGTGATTTTCTATTTTTTATTTAGGTCTGTAATCCATTTGAGTTAATCTTTGTGAAGGGTATGAAGTCTGTATGTAGATTCATTTCTTTTTTTTTTTCATGAAGAGGTCTAATTGTTCTAGCACCATTTGCTGAAGAGACTGTCTTTGCTCTATTGTATTATCTCTGCTTCTTTGTCAAAGATCAGTTGATTATATTTACATGAGTTTATTTCTGAGCTCTATTCTGTTTCATTGATCTATTTTGTTATTCTTTTGCCAATACCACACTATCTTGATTACACTAGAGCATTTTTACTTATTTATTTTTATTTTTTAAAAAGATTTTATTTATTTATTTATTTATTTGAGAGAGAGAGAATGAGAGACAGAGAACATGAGAGGGAGGAGGGTCAGAGGGAGAAGCAGACTCCCTGCCGAGCAGGGAGCCCAATGCGGGACTCGATCCAGGGACTCCAGGATCATGACCTGAGCCGAAGGCAGTCGCTTAACCAACTGAGCCACCCAGGCGCCCCAACACTAGAGCATTTTTAAAAATGTATTTCAACATACTTAATCTTGCTCTTATATTTTATTACTACTTTTGAATACTAGCATACTAGAAGAGTAAAAAATAATATATTTTTATCCTATCAAATGCTTTCTTAAATTATAAAAGTCACCTCCCACCTGCCAAATAGAGGTCACAGAAAATAAGGTGAATTTTTTTGAAATTCACCTAGGGTTGTCCCAGTTTTATCGTCACTTAAATCCAGTTTTTTTTTTTTTTTTTTTTTGACAAGGGCTCATGGCCTTAGTTCTAGAGGTGATTTTAGTCTTCTGCATCATAAATACTTATACTCAAAATGAACTTTTGCCTTACAACCTTGGGAAAGTTACTTAGACTCTTTAACTCATAGTCTCATAATTATGAAATTAGTATAATGATACTATCACATTCATAGAGTTAATACAAATATTAAATGATATAATATATAAACATCAATGCGATATGATGCAGATTAAATGACCATAAGTGGTCACCATAATGTCTTGCATGTGGTCAGGACTCAGTAAATACTACCTGTGGTAATAAATATCTTTCTTGTTAAATGTTGAGCTTGTTTTAGCACATTAGACATCTTTATTTTAATTATTGGATATATCCAAATGCTATTTAGAAATAAATCTTTATTTTGTGTTCTTCTCAATTTAAACAACATAAATTTCATTATTTAAACCAGGCATATTTTATTCACAATATGCTAGCACCTGCACTAGCCTTATGTTTGCAAAAAAGAAAATGAAGCCAAGAGAAGCATGATGTCCCAACCTCAGACATATTAGAAGTCACGTTGTTGTTTTAATCACCAAGCCAATAGTCACATTTCAGAAATATGAAGATTTTTGCTTCTCCCTATAAATTATTAGTAATATTAATAACAAAATACTACAATTTAACACAAATTCAAAGGTTTTCAAGGCACTTACACATATGATTTTATTTGATCCTCTTAAGAACTTTTTGATTCCCAGTATACAGATGCTTTCTCGGGTGAGTGGCCCAGAGATGAACAGGTAATAACCAGTGCAGCTAACATGAAAACCCTTATCTTCTGATTCCCTGCCTGGATTTCTTTCTACTATTACTTTCACTTCTCCTGTAAGAGGGGATTCCTGGCATCATCTAAGGACAGATTGAATGGGCTTCATTTTCTGAATGGTAATCTGAGGAGGTTAGTCTTAACAAAATTTGCAAACTTTCACAGTTTTCTCCAAAGGATACCTTACAGTTACACCTTGATATCCTCAGATTGTCTTTGAATTAATGGAAAGATAGTAATAATATACAAATTTACTAGGTTAAACTGCTTAGTCATTTAAATCCTTAAGAAATTGTTAAATTGCTTATATTTCTAATATTTAATTAGAAACGTGTACACAGATATGTGTGTGTATATTTACTTTTAAATAAGAGCACACTGTGAGAAAGAGTAAATTATGCATATCTTTGAGTCTTCTTAAAATATTTTTTCAAACTTCATTAAGTTTGGCTGCTTCTGTAGTTTATCCTCTTGCCTGCTCTGATACAGAAGCTTTTTTCCCTCTAACAGTACAGTTGTTTCAAAGCAGGAAGACGAGGCTGGAAATGTGTATATGTGAATTATAAAAGATAACTCTTGTTTCTAATTCATTTTAAATAACTGGCAGTGAAAATGCAAACAAGAAAGATACAACTAAACACAGTTTGGATTGAATCTTACATGATATATAAGCAGCTCACTGAGTGATTCAATCACAAGTTAGCCAACTGAAATTCTTAATTACAATCACTTTTAATGAAACATGGTCATTGGAGCTTAGATGTATTCCATCAGTTAGAAAGGAATGAAAGGAATTTAAACACTATATAGGTTATGTGCTTTTTCCCCCTGTGCTTATATTTTTTGCATGAATCACAATGCAGACATCTGTAAATTGATTTAAAATAGAGCAAAGTCATTCAATAAACCAATTCTTTAAACAGCAAGGCTTCAAAGATACTCATTAACAGTAATTCCATCAAATAACCTTTGAAAGAATAAACTACATAATGAGAATTAAAAGTTTCAACGATACCCATTAGGGTATTCTCCTGCACCATTGATTCCCTAGTATCAACTCCTTTCAGTTAGCTGAATTCTTGAGTGTTTATTGGAAAACATTAATAAACCACAATCAATTTTCTTTTTAACCTCACAAGGATAGCTTGAATGAATTAAATGTTTTCTCTCCCTCCAACCCCCCTGACCACTTCTTTCCATTTTGGACACATAATAGGAATATCTTGAACATTTATATTTCTTTTCTCCCAAAAATAAAAACAAGGAAAAGCATATTAATATGTTTCTGTTATTAACTTCCCCCCCATCCTTTAGATTATTATTACACCTATGAAAATCTAGGAATATGCCTCTCTTTATTTCAGGTTCAAAAAACAATAGGATCAGACTGTCAAATGCATTTGCTGTTTACCATTAATGAATTTAATTTACCCCAATTTTATTGAGATGCCATTCTGTACTATATTTTAAATAGATATAGATAGATAAATAGATAAATGGCTTATGTGCCCAAGATCAAGGCTCTCAAGTGCCTGGCAATGCAGAGCAATATTGTTTAAAACCAGCGATCTTAAGCCTTTAATCCTTTGTTCAAAGCTATTCTGTCACCATGTCAAAGGACAGATCTATCGTCTCTATATTTAAAGATAAAATTAAAATAAATTTATAAAATGTGACAAAATATTATATTAAAAATTACAAGAAGAAAGTTATGTAGATATAAGAAATTGTTGATCTTGTTTTCAATCCTAATTTGTCCTAAAATAATAATATAACTTTTAAGCATTAAACAAAATGCTAAGAGCACTTTTATAAAATGCTGAAGAGAACTGGAACAGAACTAGTTGAGCCTTTTTTTATTATGTCTTGAATGATTAATCTTGCTTGAAAAACAGCTGGTATTAAAGGCTTCAATTATTCTTTGCTGAAGTCTAAGTGATGCCATTTTGCTGTATCTGAGGTACAGGTTTTCCAGATTTATTTGGAGATCTTTCTATGAAAGCCAATTTTAAAACATGTTAACACACTATTTCTATATTGTATGTGTAACTATAAAACTTTATTATTATTACTGTATTATTTATTTTTAAGTAGGCCCCATGCCCAGTGTGGAGTCCAAAGCAGGGCTTGAACTCATGACCCTGAGATCAATACCTGAGCTGAGGTCAAGAGTCGGATGCTTGGGCGCCTGGGTGGTTCAGTTGGTTAAGCGACTGCCTTTGGCTCAGGTCATGATCCTGGAGTCCTGGGATCGAGTCCCACATCGGGCTCCCTGCTCGGTGGGGAGTCTGCTTCTCCTTCTGACCTCCCCCCCTTATGCTCTCTCTCTCTCTTTCTAATAAATAAATAAATAAATCTTAAAAAAAAAAGTCGAATGCTTAACCAACTGAGCCATCCAGAAGCCCCTAAAACACTTTATTACCAACAAATAGAAAACACTGACTTATGACCATCAAACAAAAGTTCAGAGTCAGTCAAAATCCCCCCTAATACTTCTTGAAAGGGAGGCATTAGGTTTAGGCATCATTTTGGGATTTGGATGGATTGATGTTCACTCACATTTCTAACTTTAGAAAGCTCATCTTTCCCCAAATATTTACCCAGTGAATTTATTAGAATCTTGAAGTAAATTGCTATCAAATCCTTGTGAAGAAATACAAAATGTGTGTCTCTGAGGCCTGGAATGTGTCTGGTGCACAGAAGATTCTTCTTGGTTGCTGTTGGCATTGACCCTTCAAAACAGTGATTATCAATGATACTTAAGAATTTGTGTGTGTGTGATTTGAAATGGAAGGTTTAAAATAACATGTAACAAAATGTGACAAAATATAAT